AGGAATAAAAGCTTAATTAAAAGCAGATAAACCATTAAATACTGTATTTGTGCCTAATTATGTAACACAAGTGTAACATTGTATTTAACTTTTAGGATGTATTTATTTGTCTCTATTTTAAATCGTCTCTAGGATTATCTTTAGGATTATGACATAGAGGATGAAAAGATTACAGTGTGCAAATAATGTATTTTTGTCATGAGGTATTCTCTCTGTCATGACTGTGCTCAAGAGGCAATGAGGAGGCCAACCAGGGCAAACCATGGGTGTTCATTTGTGCGTGAGCCAACTGTCACGTTGTCTTGTTTTATGTGTGTACAGATGCAGAGAAGGCTGGCAGGGACTCTTTTGTGATGTGTGTAAACTCCATCCATCCTGTAAACATGGTACCTGTAAAGAGCCGTGGCAGTGCACCTGCAAGGAGGGCTGGGGAGGCATCTTTTGTGACCAAGGTGTGTAACTACCTCTTTGTACTAAAAAAAAATGCTGCTTCAAATGTGGTGCCTTTTTTTTTTTTTATTACATTAGTAATGTTTTCACCCATTTGTTTTTTTCAGATCTGAACTACTGCACCCATCACAAACCCTGTGCCAACGGTGCCACGTGTATGAATACGGGCCAGGGAAGTTACACCTGCACCTGCATGCCTGGCTTCAACGGGGTTAACTGTGACTTGGAGGTCAGGGAGTGTGACAGCCAGCCCTGTCGCAATGGAGGCCACTGCCTGGTGAGTCCGGAAGTCTCTCTCCCTCCTTTCCCACAACACAGGCTTTCCTGTTTTTGTTTTTGCCTCACTCTATCTGCTAGTCCAGGAGGATGCTATCGATTGTCAAGTCAGTAGATGACCCAGTTCACAGAGTGCGTACTGTAAATAGAATTCAAACTAAGGATAATAGGGTTCGTCGGGGCAGTCGTGAACAGGATGTGATAAAGAAAACATCTGACAGGGAGCTTTTTGAAAAACTTCATATTTTTTTCCTCTGCAGGACTCTAAGAACGGCTATAGGTGTGCGTGTCCACACGGGTTTGAAGGGACACACTGTGAACACAGGATGCTGACCTGCGCAGATACACCCTGCTTTCATGGTGGCAAATGCAGAGAGCGGGATAATGGAAACACTTATATGTGCGAGTGTCCAGCAGGCTACACTGGACTTAACTGTGAGAGGAAGGTGGACAAATGTACCTCACTGCAATGCACCAATGGTAATATATCATTCTCTCTAAATAAAAAAACAATTATTTTCTTTCTGTGTATTTGTGTTAGAAATGATCTGAAAATGAGGAAGGCTTCTATAACGTGGTTTTGTTTTGGACAGGTGGACATTGTGTGATCCACGGTAACCTCCGACTGTGCAGCTGTCGCTCAGGCTTCACAGGTCTGCGTTGTGAGATCAACATCAACGAGTGTGCCAGGAACCCCTGTGCAAACGGCTCCACCTGCATAGACCGCATCAGCGACTACACCTGCACCTGCCCCCCAGGGCACACAGGCCGCCACTGCGACAGGCCAACCGACCGCTGTGTCTCTCAACGCTGCCTGAACGGTGGGACCTGCACCACTGGAGCCAAAGGCCAGCCTACCTGCATCTGCCCTTCCCATTACAGCGGCCCCCAGTGCCAGTCCAGCGTCGTGCCTTTACCCAACACCCCCAGCCCAAACATAGGCTGGGAGTCTGGGGACAAGTTGAGCTTGGCAGCCATCTGCTTGGGCGTTGGCCTGGTGGCTGTTCTGGTGCTTCTCTGCATGGTGGTGGTATTAATACGCCACGTCAAGAAGCAGAGAAGCAGGGAGCAGGACTCGGAGACCATGAACAACCTCTCCAAGGTTGACTTTCAGAAAGAGAACCTCATCTCTACTCTAGAGCTCAAGAACACCAATAAAAAGGTGGATTTGGAGGTGGACTCTCCCAGGGAAAAGTCAAATCACAAATACATCAACCACTACCACCTGGACTATAAAACCTCCACCGGGTACAAGGATGAACTGTCCCTTTTGGACAAAGATGAAAACTGTGAAAAGACAATAGAAGAAAAAAAGCATTTGAGTCGAATGTATAGGTAAGGAGTTCAATTATTCTATAATGGTTATGTGTCTGTCACTGTGCGGTGTGTTTCGTTTTTTTTACCAGAAAGATTTGAGTATGATGATTAGAGGATAAATTCACTGACGACAATGTGAAACACTTTGTTTTTGTGCTCAGTAACTAACATAGTGTATCTTCACTCCACAGAGAAAGGCCAGCATGTAGAATATCAACAATATGTTCTTCCAGCGATTCAATGTACCAGTCTGTCTTTGTCGTAGCAGAGGAGAAAAACGAATGCATCATTGCAACCGAGGTAAGTTACTTTCATAATGAGTCTATTTTCTCTTTTTCGTTAGAGCATGACCTTTACTATTGACCACATTTTAGTCATTACGTTTTTTTTGATCTTCTTCTTTTTCAGGTATAATAAATGGAAATTATTACTCACTGTCAACATTGGATTTCTTGTGGACTGTTTACAAGTGTGGAGAGACTGGGATTTATTTAAATGCAAGTTGCTGCTTTGAAAACTTGATAACTGGATGGAGCCGGTGTGCTCCTCGAAATCAAAAGAACTGAAGCTACTGATCTCGGTGAGAATGTAAAGAAGACTACAAATAATCAGAAAATCGCCTTCGATGTTTTCGACACAAACCCTCGTCTGCTCTGTCCAAGTTCATCCAAGGGCAACATGCCAAGATGTTTATGCCTGCGTGTTGATTAGAGGACAATCTTGATGTTCTTCTCTCCACCTTATTGCAGTAATCAGCAATCAAGAAATCAACTTGCTGCCAACAAGCCTGTGGAAGGAGCAAGCCTTTTCCATTTTTTTGTGGCCTACAATGCGCTATGCAAACAAAAATCAGCATTGAGCTTAATCAGAAAGGGACAAAAACGACTGAAAACGGTTCATTTTTGAAGGGTATAGGGTTATCAAATTTGTAAATCCATTTTTGTATGAAGAATGTATGCAGCCTAGATCACAAAGCCTTATATATTTGTTTAAAACCTTGTGCCCCGCCTTATCTTGAGTCCTTTGCACAGCAATATGAATATATGAGATCAAAAGACGCAATATGCAGCAGTGCCATGCAGGGAAACTCATGATTTGGCCTTGTTTGGCCTCGTTTTACCATATGCAAAGAAATACATGAAGTGACTATCGTACCAAGGACGCCTTCAAAGAAAATGACTAAACCATTAATGTTATTTTGTAAGATTAGTATTTCATTAGTAATTTAAGCATATGAAGCACTGCTCTTTCTCCTTCTGTGTTTATAAGATTATTTTGTATATACTGTATATTTATATGTTGAGATTAGAAGTATGGATTGTACATCTGTTTTTAAGTTGATGCCCAGAAAAAGGTGAATTTATTTTTAAAGTGTCATTGGTGTTTTATTTGTATTATTTTTTTGTTATAAAAAGAAACAATGAACACATATCTGGTACACTGTTTGTTTTTATTGGTCGAGTGTACATGTGGTCCAATAGAGATCCTAATTTAAATGTTGAAATCATCTAGAAACTTTATTTGTGTCAGCCGCCGTCGAGGTGACTTCATTGTCTATACAGTCATATTTGGCGTGGTAGCGTTTCTAATGATTGTCCATGACGTCTGTATTAGTGTGATGTGAAATCATTGTGCAAGCAGGAAGGAAATAAGCTACCCAAACAAAAAGATACATATTTAAAAAGAAACATCTGTAAAGGAAAATAAAGAGAAAGTAACAGAGTGCTTCTCTGAACTGCTATTGTATTTTTGAACATCGCCGAGAAACAATGCAGACTAGATATGATCTTTTGTTGGTGATAAGCTATCTCTGAAAGAGGGAGGGGATGGAGAGGGATGTGAGGAACTTAATAAAACTCCGACATATGAGGAAATCTGCATATGCCCTTTCACTACTGAGCACAGCAAACAGAGGCCCCTCAACCCAGTCGCTGCCAAGCCCCCATGAGGCAGACCACCATAACAACCCAGCAAATGACACTGTCACTTTGAACTTTTTTTAATCACCTAAAACTCCTGCATCTAATGTTGAAGCATTGGTTTTAAGTCTCAAGTGTGGAGTAATGTCTGTTACTACCACTTGGGGGCAGTAGGCTTTGTGTGAAGTTTCAAGAAAATAGTTTCTCTCACAACTTAACTCATCTAATACCACGCAGTGACAGGCAGAGGACAAATGATCTCAAGCAGTCATCCATGAGTGTTCAGCCGGTGTTGGCACAGTGGTGTGCTAGACAGACCTGAGCAGAGCAGACACATAATGAGCTTAAGAGAGCTCGTTTAGAACAATCCCAGCTATTTATAGGTAATGTGATTACCAGCTGGACCCACTAACTGCTTGACACTTAACAATGCTTTTTAATGAATGAAATTGTTGTAACAAAACAAGCTTATATTGCTTTGACCATGATGTGAAAAAAAGTTTTGAAAATAAAAAAACAAATCAAATCCATGTCATGTCACAAAGAAAAAAAATTGAATTGTGTACATTTTCTTACTGGGTTTTAAATCCTCAGGTTTTTAAAAAATACACATTTACTGTAAATGCAGCAGCCAGTGAGGTCTGAAGAAAGTATGGGTTTTTCCACATTCACTGGTAAACACAGGTGTGAGGTGCTCCAACTAAAGTCATCCTGATTGGTTCATCTGTTAGCTAAGCCCGCCCCTCCGGCGATTTAATTGGTCGAAACCGTCTCGCTCTGACTCGCTCTAAACAACAAATACACGTGTTTGTACATCAGCAAGAGAACACGCACAGTGCGTACAAACGGTGTTTCTGATGATACCCTAATAATAGACTCGTTTCGATAAAACTGCACTGCACTGCACTTTATAATAGCGACTCTCAGATGTCTTGGAATGTATAGGACGATAGAAACAAGAGAGGGAATAGAGGAGAGCAGCTACTTGTTGACAGAAGTAGCCACATAAAAGCACTTGTCTCGTTTTTCAAACATAAAATGAAACCTCAGGAAATTATCAAAGAAAAGGGCAACCTGTGGATATTTGGATATGGCTCCTTAGTGTGGAAACCTGATTTTGCATACAAGAGGAGCAAAGTTGGCTTCATCAAAGGATACAAAAGGCTCTTCTGGCATGGAGATACTTTTTATCGAGGGGACAAGGAAAAGGTGAGATTTGTCCACATTAATTTACAATCATATTATTTTGCAAATATTTTCTGATGGTTTTAGTTGCTTATTTAGTCATTTTTCTGTTTATCATGTATTATTTGTTCACTGCCCGTGTCCTTGCTCTCCACAGCCAGGTAGAGTTGCCACACTAGTGGAGGATCAGGAGGTAAGTGTCCTTCATTTGGAAGCTCCGAGTCTATTTTAATACTGTTTACAGCATGCACTATATATTCTATCAATTTCTATACCATTACCAGTCTATAAAAACTGTTACAAAAGTTGTAAATATTATTTTAACCCAATCACTACTATTGAACATATGAAACAATGAACTTGAAGAGAATAATAACTAATGAATGAACTTGTATATGTTTTACTTGACATGTATAACCATTTCATGTATTTTCATGTATTTCTACCATTAACATTCCTCCTCCACTTGCTTTCCCTACAGTCTTGCACATGGGGAGTGGCCTATGAGGTGACTGACTCCCAGATTGAAGAGTCCCTTCAGCACCTAAACATGAGAGAGGTTGTGTTGGGGGGTTACATAACAGAGATGGTGGAGTTCATCCCTAAGGAGAAGGGTCAGGGTGCTCTGTTGGCCCTCGTCTACATTGCTACGTCTGACAACCCCATCTACCTCGGCCCGGCCTCAGACAAGGAGATCGCAGCCCAGATTGCCACCTGTAGAGGGAACACGGGCCACAATATGGAATACCTGGTCCGCCTGGCAGAGTTCATGAGGCTCTACTGTCCTGAGGTAAAGGACGAGCATCTCTTCTCTATTGAGGCGGCTGTTCTGAACATTTTCCGTGACTGCGGAGGGATCAAACCCCCTGACCAAACGTCCTTTCATCTGGAAGCTACATAAACGCTCCATCATACTTCATCATACAATTGTTAATGTTTTAATACTGGGTAAAAGGGAAATGAGTTTGTTATGATTTGCTTTCAAGGAGAAAAAAAAAGCAGTGGTGGCATTTTCTGTGACTTGAAGTTTTTCAACGGTTGAAGACAGAACATTTGTACTGTGTACATTCATACATTCTAATAAAAACGATGAAATCTGCATGAAGCCAATGGTGTTTATTTTTCCGTCGCTCATGCTCAACCCACAACATGTAAGTTTTAAGAAGTCTCCTATTCATGTTTGCAGTCATGGCTGAGGAATGTACAGCTGTAGGCTCTCAGAGGAAATGCTGACTGCTCCTCAGAGACTTGTTAACTGCACAGACCTACCAGCTTTTAGATATCTATTACACTGCATTGTATACATGCTGTTTACACTCTGGATGTTTTGTAGACATCGGGGGGTATTCTGTGCAGTTCTTGAGTTCATGTCACAAACGTTTTCTTTTTATGATACCAGGATTGCCTTAAGTCATATAGTTACAGTGGTGGGTCCATATTTTTAAACTCCATATTTTAAACAGCACATATATGTGGCTCTGTGGCTCACTGCTCTGCTTTCCTAGAAATCATCCCAGAACTAGGACAAAGGTTTAATCTGTGAGAGAGAGAGAGAGAGAGAGAGAGAGAGAGAGAGAGAGAGAGAGAGAGAGAGAGAGAGAGAGAGAGAGAGAGGACGGGGACATACAGATCAACAAGAGCTCTCATGTAGAACATGCACTGATGAAAGACATGGACAGAAAGTCTCCTGAGATGGACAATTCCCTCATTGCATAACTAAAGCACTATGTCCTGTGGTTGTGCTTTTCCAGAAAACAATGATAAAACTGAAATATGAAAGAACAGTTTATGGCTCCTGCTGTTGATAAATCACCACAGAAAATCTGTTCACGACATGTTCTATGTGCTGTCTGTTTTGTTTTTGATGAAACTAAGGAGATCCAGACAAACAGCGGTGAGTCAACAACACTCATGTTTGTCTGTGGCTTCCAACAACATGACAAGGTATGATGTGGTACATGTAGTGCGCAACAAAATGATCTGACTCAGTGCATTTGGTGTGCCCTTTGTCTCCCAGTCCAAACTCTACTTTGAATTTGTTCTCTCTCATTAATTTGTTGTTGCTTCTTTTTCTGAGTCACCAGTAAAGATATTCACTCAGTAGAAACATGAACGGCTAATCTCACTTCGGATTTGCTGTACAAACTGTTTAACAATACTGTTCACATGATGTTCAATTCTTTTAATTTGATTTGTTTTTATCCAGTCCTTATGTTAGAATGCCAAAGCCAATCCTCTCCACCCACACATATTGGTACAAAACAATGTGGTACAAAGACCCAGCGACTATGTTCAGAGTCAAAACTCCAATGTCAGAGTCATCGTCAGCAGTTCCAACTGTATGGAGACAATTGCAGCTGCAAAAATACATCTGTCACTCTATAAAGGATGTTTTAAATGTGGTTATGAAGTCTGAAAGAAGCAGTTATTTTTCTACTTGCAATAAAAGATCAATTATGTTGCATTAGAGCATTTTGATTTACAGCTCAGTCGAACGCCTCTCATTTGGAGCTATAACAATAAAGATAAGTTAATCAATAAAGGCCCTTACCACACTGTTAGGGCTCTTTGGAGACGTGCAGAGGGAATATGAAACCCTGGGGTCATCAATTCAGAGGATGCTCTTTCACAAAGAGAGGAGCAAAACATTTCCACATGGCTCTGTCTATTATTTTTGCATCAGCATTGAATATACTATGAAACAACATAAAATAACAGCATACTCTATTGACATCAAAGAAGAATGTACAATATACATGGATGCGCTGTGCTCCCTATGCAATTTGAACCCCTGATCAATATCATTACCCTTCCTGAGGTCACTCGCTCTCCAGGAAAAGATGTCAGCCATTATCCTCTGAACAAAACGCACTCTGATTATGAGGAGCACACACAATACCGCAGAGTGGAGGTTGAGGTCATGTCCTGAGGATGCGCGTTTGGCCTATTATGACTCAGAATAGTGGTCACACATCCCCAAAAACATTTTTCCGACTGATGCTTTTCGGAGCTCCCACCTGCATGCTAATGTGTACCTAGCCTGAACTCTGACCCCTGACCTTGGCTTGGTCAGTGCAGGGCTGAAGGTCACCCTGGAAGTGTGTTAAAGAGAAAGTGATTGGGCCACTAATGGAGTCCATCCGCTTAAGAGCCCTCGCCCTCTTATATAGGGGGGTCAGCTCTGTCTGCTGAGGGTCACCTCACCCTTTGCTGGGTTCCTGCCAGTGGACACGAGTGCTGTGCGGTCTGGAGGCCACTTCACCACAAGAGGAAAACCGTCCATTAAAAAGCCACAAACAATGGCTCATGATTTGGCAGTAAACCACATGCCTTCTCTGAACCCTTCTATCAACAAAATAGAAACAGAAACTATTGTTCCTCCATACGTTATTTTACTTAAAGGGTAACTTTGGTATTTTTTAACCTAGATGCTATTTTCCCATGTTTTTGTGTCTAAGTGTTGCCATACAGACTTTAATAGTGGCAAAAACAAACACTTTCAAACAGCTTGTTTATTGGCTGCTGTCAGCAGCATTCTGGCTCTATATTGAACCAATTTCAAAACTGGTTGGTCCCAGGAGTCACTTAGACACAAAAACACGGGAAACTAGTTTGAAAATGACCCAAAGTTACCCTTTGTGCTTTCTGACTGCTTAGATGAAAAGACTGAATTTGGCTTGTGGTTTGGGCGTGAGCTGCTGCTCATCTTGTTAAAGAAAGAATACTGTTTAGTCTCATCCATCATTGTGCTATAATAAACACCATTCTTTAATCCATTCATCATCGGCAGTGGTTGATGTAAAAACTGTTTCTTCTCATTCAAACAGAACTTGACTCACACTCACTGGATCTTTTAATCCAATCTGTTTGGAGCAGGACTGGGGACTAAACCAGGCTCGACAAAATTAAATCTCAAGCCAGAGAGCTGCCTCCTGCTTCATTAGTCTGCTCTATCCCCGAGGAATGGCACTTTTGCAGCTCATAATTTAATTTCCTTAATCTCTTTTACACTCAAACCCACGGCAGCTGCCTGCGCCTGGCTGAGGGGTGTCGGGCCTTGAGGGGAAATGGATCTGTGAGATCATCTGTGAGGAACGTTTTTATCAGTTTTAACTTGAAAAACAAGTATTTTGAAGTTATACACATTATATGTTGTACTGTCTGAACATTTACTGAGTCCTTGTTGCTCTGATGGAAATTCGTAATAGCAAAATACCATGTAGTATACTATATTAGCACTTCACAGTTGCATGGGATCTGGATGTTATTTTTGTTTATGTGTTTGGATCCACATGGTCTCAAGAATCCTCTTCAGAGATGTTAAAGCAATACACCACTGCGTTGTTGAAATGCCTTTTGCCATATTGAACATTGGTTTTATTTGAAGGCTAACATTCCTCACCATGTTTGCCATCTTAGTTGTGTTAGCATGTTAGCATTCGCTAATACACAAATTTTACTTCATTATCATCTGTGATGTGAACCACCAAGTGTTGTTTTTTCACTTTGGTTTTTGTACTGCTTAACAAACAAGACATCAGGTATTCTTAAGGGGGTTGTTTTACCTTTGCACAGAGCCAGGCTAGCTGTGTTTCTCTTGTTCCCCTTCTTTGAGCTCAGCTAAGCTAGCTGGCTGTAGCTACATATTTACAGTACACTGAGTGGTATCATCTAACTCTTCGCAATGAGGCATATAAGCGAATTTCATTGAAAATATTTCTTTAAATTCACACTTTCTGGGATGCTCCCGTGGCCAAAATAGTGGCAACTTCCTAAGCCAGTGTGTAGCATTCATCAGGGAAATGCTCGATTTTGTGGCAAGGCCACATATTTGGAGATTTTCCCAGGGGTTTATCATGTTTATGTGTCAGTATTACTGTGTATGTGGCATGAGACCAGACTAAACCTTTTATTAAAAGCATTTGAGCGGACAATGGTATTAAGGGAGGGAGAGATAGCAGGAATGCCAGAAAACAAATCCAACTCAGTTAGTATGCAAACGTCTGCAGATGGCTCAGCATGAGCATCCAAAGGTGTGTTATTCAATGTAGGGCTGCTTCACTTTGGCAGCATGCATGACTGCAACCAGCATAGTTATTTGACGTTGTGAGGCCAAATCAACCTTGTGTGTTATTCTTTGTCAAAGCACAACAATTGGGTGAAGCACGTGGGTTTTTCCAGTGCCAAGGGAAGTGCCACAGTGACAGTTGGCAAACAACCACCCACAACTGAGGATGTGGCCTGTTTTCTTCCCCCTCCAGTAACATTTTGAAGTCCTGCGTCTTCATTCTTCCTTTCTTTAATCAGTCAATTTATATTTTTCTCTTTGAAACGTCAGCCGAAATAAGAGAGTAAAAAACAAAAAGGAGTGAAAACCTAATGACCTAGTTGTGGAGAGCTCACACCCAGTGAAGAGAGGGACAGGTGCTTGTTTTGGTAAAAACAGCACACTGTTTGCATTGTAGCCTGTGCTACAGAATGATTGGCCAACTCATTAGCTATACTTAGTTGTTGAAAGACGCCACTTTTCTCTCTTGATGTCAACACATGCCACAAATAAAATGATTGCACAATGTTTCCCCTCAAAGTGCCACAGAACTGCCAAAGTATTCCAACAGCTGCTAAATATAGACTCAAGGGATCAACCAGGTCGTCAAGAAACTCTGAGGGAATATTAAGAGGTGTGGTTTAGGTCTTTCTTTCCTTAACCTTGGTAATTTAATTAAAGATTTGTTTTAAGCTGGATATGCCATACATGCCTCATGCCCTACATTTTATAGATTATATAAAACAGTCATTCCTAAAGACTAGGTCGAAACCCACAGGTGAGTCACAGGAGATTTTATTTGGGTCTGCCATTTGCAGAATTTCTTTTAACATTTATATTTGCAGTACACCTTTGAACCTGAATGTTCGTATTGTTCTGATGTTTGTAGCCTACTTTGAATCTCAAATAAAAGGCTAGCATCCATTCTGTTTGTTTGGCTGATGAGAGAACA